TAGTAAGCAAAACAGCATGGTAATGGCAGAAAGACATACAGATCAATGGAACAGAATAGAGAATCCATGAATAAACCCTCACAGATATAATCAAATGATTTTTGACAAAGGTGCCAAGACCATTCTATGGGGAAAAGAATACTCTTTTAACAAATGATGCTGGAGAAACTGGATAGCTACCTGCGAAAGAATGAAACTGAACCCTTACCTTACATCATAGACAAAAATTAATTCAAAATGGATGAAAGACTTACACATAAAAACTAAAACAAGGGAAAAGCTTCATGACACTGGATTTGGCAATGACTTTTTTTGGATATGACAACAAAAGCATAGGCAACAAAAGCAAAAAAATAAACAAACGGGACCGTATCAAAGGACACAAAAGAGTGAAAAGGTAACTCACAGAATGGGAGAAAATACAGGCATACCTCGCTTTATTGCGTGTTGCAGAATGCATTTTTTTTTTACAAATTGAAGGTTTGTGGGCACCACAGCATCAAGCAAGTCTATTGGCATCATTTTGCCAACAGCATGTGTTCACATCATGTCTCTAGTGACATTTTGTTAATTCTCACAATATTTCAAACTTTTTCATTATATCTGTTATGCTGATCTGTGATCACTGATCTTTCATGTTACTATTGTTATTTTAGGGCACCACAAACCACACTCACATAAGACAGTGAACACAATCGATAAATATTGTGCATGTGATATGACTTCTCCACCAACTGGCCATTGACCCATTCCCCTCCCTCTCCTGGGGCCTCCCTACTCCCTGAGACACAACAATATTGAAATTAGGCCAATTAATAACCCTACAATAGCCTCTAAGTGTTCAAGTGAAAGGAACAGTCACATGTCCCTCACTTTAAATCAAAAGCTAGAGATGATTAGGCTTAGTGAGGAAGGCATGTCAAAAGTTGAGATAGGCTAAAAGCTGGGGCTTCTTGCTGCAAATAGCCAAGTTGTGAATGCAAAGGAAAAGTTCTTGAAGGAAATTAAAAGTGCTACTCCTGTGAACATGAACACATGAATGATAAGAAAACAAAACAGCCTTACTGCTGATGTGGAGAAAAATTTCTAGAAAAGAGTCACCATTCTAGGTGCCATTAAGAACATTCACGATTCATGGGAGGTTAAAATATCAACATTAACAGGAGTTTGGAAGAAGTGGATTCTAACCACCATGGATGACACTGAAGAGTTCAAGACTTCACTGGAGGAAATCACTGCAAAGAGGATAGAAACAGCAAGACAACTAGAATCAGAATTGGAGCCTGAAGATGGGACTGAATTGCTGCAATTCCATGATAAACTTGAACGGATGAGGAGTTGCTTCTTAGGGATGAGCAAAGAAAGTAGTTTCTTGAGATGGAATCTACTCCTGGTGAAGACACTATGAACATTGTTGAAATGACAACAAAGAATTTAAAATAGCACTTAAACTTACTTGATAAGGCAGACGCAGGATTTGAGAGGATTGACTCCAATTTTGAAAGAGGTTCTGTGGGCAAAATACTATCAAACAGCATCATATGCCACAGAGCAATCTTTCATGAAAGGAAGAGTCAATACATGCAGCAAATCTCACTGATGT